ACGATTAATTTGATTTGAAAAAATGTCACTGTGTGCCTATTCATGCACTGGTGTAATACCAAAGAAAACTTTAAGACACTTTTTTCTTTCTTTAACAGGTAAATGCATTTATGATGATTATCAGACAAGGTGGTTGTCTTCTCAGGTTCCCTTGGTTTAAAGCAAGCATCATAACAGTTCTGATTTGAGAAATTCCTAATGCAAAATATCCTTATAATCACCAGTAGACACATTCTAAAAAAGTTTCAACAAAAAAAAAAAAACACTAATGTTTGAATATAAATGTTTAAATCAATCCTATGTTTTACTTGTTATTTGGTTAACCGAGTTCCCTGATTCAAGGCAAAGCTGTAGCCCTGAATCTTTGTGGTATTTTGAAGAATACTTGCAGTGGCAGTTCAAATGATGCATCTTCTTTGAATAAATAATACAAAAAAAAGAAACATTCAAAGGCTTTCATGAAATTTTAACACAGAAAGGAAACAACTGATTGTGATTTCAAAGAGAAATCGTTCAGAAAATATGAACTGAAACAGAAGATATAAAGTCTCAAATCTCCTTTCAAATTTCTGCTAAAGACAAAAGTTTACAAAATTTAGAAAAGTAAAGTAAAAAAAGAAAAAGCAGAAATCATTTTATTGTTCTTTTTTTTTTTGCAAAAAAATAAAAAATAGAATGGAATAAATAAATGTCAAGCTAAAATTCATGAAGTGCCACCATGTTACGGAGGCCATGAAAATATGTATTCACTGAAACGGATTATCACCTGCAATTGAAATTTCACAGAAATGAACACAAACCAAGAGCTTCCTGAGATTCTGAAAATCAGACTGGAGCACAGGGCACCTGACTTTGATTCCGATCTCAAACATAATTCATAACACGGTCAGATTATGACGGTCAAGAAGAGCAAAATCAAAGCGATGAAAGAGTGCTCTAAAGAAATGTCCTCATCAGTTGGCACACACCAGCAGTCTCCCCATTCACCTCAGGAAGGAACACTTTCCGACAGGTAGCGATCCTGAGCAACACGATGAGAGTGGCATGTCATTCAGAAAAACACCACCCATCTTTGTCGTGGCTGGTGATGATAATGGTTAATACTGCTGTTCCTGGCACCGTGTTATTTTCACTCCCACTATGCCTCTCAGCACAAATGAAAGAGACGGACTAGATTTTGTCAGCATGGCCTGAACAATGTTTGGTATTTTAAGCCTTTACTTTACCAAAGTAAAAAATAAAGCTACTACCCAGTTCTTTAAGAGGCATGCCAACAAAAATCCTCCTCACATAAGAAAGATCAGGTAAACGTGGAGTTTGCTAATTCTACTAAGTATTTAATGGGTTACTCAAAACTTCAGAGCTTATTTTGTTGATATTGTTTACTACATCATCATTAAGGGTTGAAGTGTCCTGTCCAAAAAGAAAAAGTAATGTAAACCCACGCCTTGTGAAGATTACAAGTGGTTTAGCTCTTCTGCACTTTCATCCATATCATATCGGATATTATTGCTGTTACTAATAATTGTTTCAGGGATTCTCTTAAATTATCTTAAAACGTTTCCATCTTTAACTGCTGAGGTTTAACTTGGCTTATGTGTCTGTAGCTTAATACCTATTGGTAACTCAGTAACCCAGGACATTTTAAATGGCTTTACTGGCTAATATTCGTTCAGTGAGTCTCATTAATGTTTTACTGTCCACTTCACTTAATTATAATTGCTTGTTTTTCAGCCATGGACAGCTTTCTGGATTTCATGTTAGTCACACCACTGACTAAAAATCAGAATGTAAAGACAAAACCAAACAGTACAATGTTCAGTATAATAATAACAGACCGGTGCAATGAACACCTACATTCATATGTTCTAATTTATTTGCTCCTGTAAACATGGTGTGTTCTCTTACAAATGCTAGTAATGTTTTTTTTGTTTTTCTAAGTTGTCTGTCAGATCCAGATGGAAATACCAAAGGATAAAAGCTGGAATGTCAATCTTGTCACATATTCCTCTATCGATGTCAAACTGAAAAATACACAGAGTATCACAAAAACATAATAATTTGGCCTTGCTGCTTTAATACTTTGGTATTAAACTCTTATCCTCTTATCTGAGGATAATAATGTGGCCAAATCTACACAGAAATGAGATGACTCACAAAATCAACCTGCTCCCACAGTCATTTCAGTCCATAGACCTAAATGCAATAGAAAACTAGTGGGGTAAGCTGAAGACATGAATACACCTGAGGACCCGCAACCCCGGAGGATTGAGAATGACTGAGAAAAAGGAGAATGGGCAAAGATCCCTGGGTCTATGTGAAATTGCACAACTAAGAAAGCAATTTAATTTATTTCAAGCTTTTCTACATTATGTTAACTATATTTCCAGTAGGTGCTGAGTTCAATGGAATCAAATTGCTACTCCTGTGACATGCAGTTTCTTAAACCACTGTTACCGTCTGTTTGCAGTTTGTAAAACATTAGACAGCCACTTATGCAGTGGTGCAACTGCACATTATTCAGGTGGATGCGAAAACATAAATCACCTCCCCCCCCACCCGAGGCGATGCTGCGTGAAGTGTAAAACTCGCTACATGTGCCTCGTTATGTGCGAGAGGTGAAGGAGCGTGAGGCGCGCTGAACTGTATGGGAAAACATCATCGGCACGTCGCCCTCTCCAGACGGGGTTTTGGCGCCCCCTCTGGTGCTGCGCCCCTATGCGTTGCATACGCTGCATACCCACTTTTTGCGCCTCTGCACTTATGTGATAGCAGCTGATTATAAGGGGGATTTTCTGGGTGTCCCCTAAACTCATGAAATCATACTCCTTCCTGTTCTTCTAATAATTACTTTAAAATAAAGGGATGTCAATTTTGTCTTCCTTACACCAAAGGAAGACATCCTTCAATCATCTGTTTCAGGTGATTAAAAAATAAGAATAAAATCAGAGAAATTGAGCTTGTGCTATTCTCATGCTCAACAAATGTTTTATTAATGTTAAACATCAGTGCTTTAAATGTTCTTCATTTTAAATTAGATTATAAACTGAATAAAGAGTTTTAGACATTCCACTAATAACATTTTGATTGGTTGTTGGTCATTAGCCTGTTACTAGGTCCTGACAAAAGACATTCTTCCATTAGGCCAGGTAGGAAATGTTGCTTGGGAAGAACCAGTTGATCAGAACCAAAACTGGAGCTTGTGGTGGTGAAGACACAAAAAAACAACAGCTGCTAAACAAGAATCAGTTTAGCACTGGAGTTGGTTAGACGAGCTGTCACTATGGAGCTAAGGCAAAAATAGACTTCTGCTCTTGCAATGTTAAACCAATTAAAAAGAAAAGAAAAAAAAAAACAAGCATAGAAACAAACTAACAGAACAGAGCATTTATGTCCTGTTTGATTGCAACTGCCTTTCCAAAGTCAGTTCATACTGAAACTAATAAACTCTCAATCTGCTTGATATTTTTCTCCCAACATTGTAAAACATTCAATCAAAATACCTTTCCGTTGCTCTTGTGTTTGTAGGATTTCCAACTGGTCAAATTTGTATATGCAGATTTCCACACACAAAACGGGGCAGCATCTTATTTGTTTTTTTGGATGATGCTAAACGAGATAAATAGCTGTCTACAGCTCCGCATTTGTGTCACTGGTCATTTACCAAGGCTAACCATTTGTGCTTCTGTTGAGACTGTATAATCATGTTGTCTACAGTTTATGGACAGAGGTTTTTATATAAAGGGAAATTAAATTTGGTAAGTAGTTTGAGACAGACAGGCCAAAATCAACTACGTCAGGGAAGTGGTTATAGGAAAAGTAGAAATCAAAGATAAACAATACCTACAGTATCCAACAACATTAAGACTCAGTAGGAAAACTGCAATCCTGTATGACAGTGTAAAGTCTTCAGATTTCTCCAAACAGTGTTAGAGGAAAAAAAAAATGAGACAACCAATGGTAGACATGGTGAAGAAGAAGAAGTCATCGAACGAAGCAGGAGAAAAATAATAGACAGACCGTCTTAAGTACTCACAGAATTATGATGACAACACTGGGAGCCGATATCAAAGGATTTCCTCGGATAACTGGGGCCACTTTAATCTTGGTGAGGTCCAGGATGGAGCGTATGATCCACAAGGAGGGGAGCAGGGAAGCAGGCTCCGAGGGAGACGAGGAAATTTAAAAAAGAGGAAGTGCAGCTTTGGGGACACTTGGCAGGAGCCTCGGGGTGTCTGAGATTGAGGAAGGAAATAAAGTCTGCTCTGTCCTCCACGGATTCAGTACCTTGCTGCTGTTTTTCCCTTCTATGCCTATCAGTTCCTCTCTTGCTTTTATCTCAGGCTCAATATGGAGATAGAGGAAACTGCAGGGAAACTTCCAGAAAGGACAAGTCCATGCTGGGATGATAAATCTTGAGGGAGGGATGGAAAATAGGTTTAAAGAGATGAGGGAGATAGAAAACAGTCTTTGTATATCTCCGAAGGAAAACACAAAGTGTTTTTTTGTCTCTCCCTCTTTTCCTGTTTTCTCTTGAGGAACCTCCACCACTTAAAACTCTTGTTTGGAGATGAGACACTCACAGGGGCAGAAACAAACTCAATTAGAGATGGACGGAGATAATGGTGTGTATCGGTGGCACCTGCTCAGCCTCCTCTTTCTCTGTCTGACTGCTTTTCCACCTGACTGCCAAGATTAAGGCATATAATCAAATTCTCCTAATTGGCCCTGATTGTGGCAGCCAGCCAGGAGTTTCTCCTCTCCCTCTCTGTAATGCTATGCTTCGCACAGCACAGAGAATGGCAATGAGTCCTTTGCCTGTCAGTCAAGACTCTGGGCTCCTGCAGTCAATCTTCCCCACTGACTCACAACTAGTTATTATCTTAGCGTGTTGGCACCTTGATCTGGCCATATCCTCCGCTGCCCTCTGATCCGGCCTTTTATCAAAAACCAGGTTGACCGGCGGGTTTTCTTTCACCCTCTCCGTTCTCTTGGTCTTGTTTTGTTCTTGGTCGCCTTTTACTCTCTTTGTATTTACATCTAATCACTCCAGCTCTTCTTGTGTCTAATCCACAACTATATCAGTTGTAGTTAATTGGTTTCAGGTGTCTCTAGCAGCGGTGAAAAAGGAAAGAACTGAAGAAGGTGGCAGGGAGGAATTCACGCCTCTGTCGCCATTAATTAAAAAGATAATTACTCAGAAAACAAAGATTAAAGATGTAAATAGGAAGTGCACAGGCTGATAATAACCCAGTGGCACTTTATAAGTCTCTCAGCTGATTGACTCAGTGTTGTGTATCAGCTTGTTAAAAATAGCTGAGTGTTTGGAAGAAAAGTTTCTGGGAGGTTTCCTCGAGTTGTTGTGGCTACATGGTAGGATGAGACGCATGTCACCTTCTGTGACTCAGCACCGCGGGGAGGCTCGTTGGAAGAAGTGTCCAATATTTTTGTTTTTTTCAATTACATTTCACCCGCTGTGTCAAGGCTTAGGGTTGGTGTCAGTTCAGGTTTTTTTTCACTTCACAGAATCAGAATCCGGGAAAAAAAGGGAATTCATCAGAGGAGCAACATTTTCAAACCCCGACAATTTTTTTTTTCTTTTCCTTTCTTTTTCTGATGTCCTCAAAGAAGCAGCTGGAGACTATTGAGCCTTTGAACAGATAGAGTCAACATGGATCTGCCAAAGATGATGTGTGGGTTGGCTGAATGGCAGCAGGCATCAACTGCGGTTGGAAGCCTAGGCAGTGGAGTCCGCCCAAGGATTCAGGCTTCTGGCATATTGGGTAACGATGTATAAGACGCAGTGGCATCTGCAATGACAGCAACAAAGAAGCAAAACCTTAAGGTTAACATTATGGTTCATTTTAAATTAAAATTCCATCTTTTTTTGTTACCATTCTGCTTCAAGTAAAAAGAAAAAAATATATTCTGAAGGGGAAAAATGTGTCGGAGATTTTTTTCCCCCCCAATGTGTAGGAAGGAATTGTTGGCAACCAGGGTAAAAATATATTCCTTCATTCAAATAAATTCAGTTCTACACTCTGTATTCAGAATTTTTTTTTTTTTTTTTTACATTCTTAGACAACTGTGAGTACCTCTGAGGTGTTAAGAACAAAGCACAGCTGTCATCTATAACATTTTAAAAGATTGAAGATTACAGAAAGGTTAACCATTCCTATTTGCACCAACTCATTAGATTTACCAGAACCACACCATCCTTTCTGATGCTTTCTTCTCTTCAGCGGAAGATAAAGATTTTTTTTTTGGTCATGGGAGCAGGTTAATTTTATGTTAAGTAAACCAGCATTGCTGTGGTCACCTGTTTTAGATCTTTATCTTGCTAAAATTAGTTTATTATTATTATTTTTTTTTTCTATTTTCATTTTTCTGGCAGAGGCCACCAGATATTTATTAAAAATGTTCTGCTACTTCTGAGAGCTTATTATGCCATTCTCCTCAAAAAAGTATTCAGGCGTTTTGGAAGAGAGCAGGCAGAAACACCTTTCCCCTACTATATGGTAAAAGGAATATCTCCTGTCCTTTTTTCACTGCAGTGACATCTTAGTCAACTAATCAGATATGGGATTGGTCCGAAAGCAAGCTATGTAATGCTGGTCACATTCAGAGCTGACCCAAGGCATAATTGGACTAAACAGTTGCTTATTCTCCTCTCTCATTCCCGTAAAATCTTAAATTATAACACAGACAATGGATCTGTAATTCTAACATTTGTTTACTGAGAATGACACTGCTGTTAGATGATTTAATGATTAAATCAGAAATAAATTATTTTAAATTGAACATCTAAATTTAGGATTTAGAAAAACTGGCATGTTTACTTTGTAAAAGTGCAAAAAATACTCGTCAATGTTTGATGCTATGAGTTAAATCTTTGTGTTTGTTCACAAATACATCTCAGTAAACTTTATTCTTTGTTCATCAAGAAATTACTGTTCCCATCAGTCTGCGAGCCGCGGTTTGCCTGCACGAGTCGAGCAAGCGCTGTGGCTTTCATACCTGAACAGGAAAATTAATCTGACTGTAACAAAGAACAACTAAACATAAGGAATAAATAATAAATGTCATCTAACTAAGAGCAGACTGAACTTAGTAAAAAAAACATGGCTGATCATATCAAAATAAGAATAACAAAAGAAAACACAGAAAACAGATAAAGAAAAAGAAAAACCCAAAACAAAACAACATAAGATCCTGACAAATATTTGATGGTAGTCAAGTAAACATTGAAACGGCATAATGCTGCTAATTTTTACCTCAAGCTGTTCTTTTCCTCTGCTCTATGGTGCCTTCTTGCCAATAGAGCAGACACACTCATGACACTCTGATGGGATGCAGCACTGCATGCAAATCTTGCCATCAATGAGAAACCCAGAAAAAGGTTGTCGTAACCCGAACCATTTGATCTTTTATAGTTATGTCTTTAAGAGAAGCGTTTAAACAATAATGGGTCACCAGAAACATAGCAGAATCCTCCATGTGGGAGTGCGTAACAGCCTGATCATGAAATGCACACATAAGAGACACCAACATTCAACCTACAGGAGAATTAAGCATTTTCATCTAAATCTGATTGCTGAATAATGGACTGTCTTAAAATGTTGTCAAAGATAAAAGAGTTCTCATGTTCTGTTAATCTTATTTGTTGTAATATTTTTCCATTTTGTAAGTTTTAGAAGCTTGTGGCCTAAAAAGGGATCCACAATTACTTCAACAATTTGGCCTACAGACGTTGCAGTGTTCCTATTAGCTAAAAATAGGAACACTATTTTTAGCTAATAGGAGCTAATATTTTATTTATAAAATATGTATTTATAAATATGTGTAAATATTATTTTATAAAGAAATATTTATTTATTAATAAATAAATAAATACTGTTTGGGATACGAAAAAACTCAGAATTACTTAAATGTATATCTTGTAATTTTCACCCATGGAGGTCGCCATTTTTCACCTGCGCAATGCATGCTGGGTGAAAAACACATAAAGTTGTGTCCGTTCTGACATGGAATTTCAGAAGGCTAACTTTACCTGAGTTGTTGTTTATCATGTTGCGTTTGACTAATGTAAATTTAGACAACGCCACACTGTGTCGCTGTTAGCTGTAATTAAAGAAGAAATAGTGAGGCGAGTCTGGAATATTTCCTACATGAAGAAAAAAAATGCATTGTGATAGAACTAAACGCAACTCCCCCAGGACCAACATTTGTGCCCTCAACACATCTCTCCAGAAGTCTTAAAGCCTTCATCATTTTTTTCATACAAATGACTCAAACAGGTGGTCGTTACCTTCAAGCTAAAATCAAGTGCCATGCAGACAGTTTTTATCCGCAAGCGCCTGTGTTGCCTGATTAGCAAACACTGTCAGAGTAGCTTACATGCAGCGAGTGCATATGTGTGCGCATGCGCACTAAGAGGTCCGCTTAGAGGAGGTGTCAGTTCAGCATACGGACACGATCCGACAAAAAGTAAGTCAATAAATTGTTTTCAATGATAACTTGATGGATACAGATGCACTGTCTTGATTTCAAAGTGTATTTAAAGCAGGGTGTAGTTTAGCTGCAGCCAACTGCAAAACACTACAAAACAAGCGTCCCTGTACCGCTAAGTCAAGATGTCATACAGCTGTTAATAAAGTGTATGACGATCTAAATTCTGTCATGATGTTATGTTGCTGTTTAAATAAAGCATGTGGTAATGACAGGATATATTGGTCTCTCAGTTATAGCTGTCA